AGATAGATAGATAGATAGATAGATAGATAGATAGATAGATAGATAGAAAGGCTGTGTTTAAAAAAATACTTTTAACAACTTCTGACAGACCAGATTGGAATTTAAATAAGAATATAGAGACCACCAGCCCCATCTAGTGGAAAAGACTGACACAGTGGGGCTTACAGCAAAAAAAAGAAAAGGAAGAAGTAACTCTTTTGGTTTTGCTTGGTATTCAAGTCCTAAACTGTGTGTGCTTACTGAGGCCATTAGCAAAAATTGAATTATTGAAGCACTGAATTGTGTTGAAATAGAAATCAGCCCCTGCATCACAAAATGTACCTCATTCAAATGAGCTTAACAACAAGACTGTGGAGAAGCTTTTGCATTAATACATGTGCAAGGTCAAAGGTCAGCTGCTATGTGCTCTTCCTGGTCCTGGAACAAAGTTAAGATGTACAAACTACAGACACAGGAGACTGAATGTGTTTCAGAGCAACTCTGACTGATGAATAAAAGACAAGATCATTCTTGATGGTTATGGTTGCTTTGTGCTTTGTAAACAGCATTAAGCAAATGAGACTGGACTAGCAGCAAATGCTCTTTGGGACAGGGAAAACACTCTCTGCTGCTCTTAGATAATCTGTTTACAATGACAGTCTGTGACAGTGAGAGGTAAGTAGCTTTTTATTCATCATGCTACTAATTTGTCAAAAAATACTAAACAAAAAGAAAAGTTTCTAGAGGAATCAGATTATGTATTGACATTATACAATGTATAATAAAACAGTCCCCTCAAATGCACCCAATTAAAAACAAGAAATAATGAATAAAGAGCAACAACAGTAGTATCAATAGCAATATAAGCAAGAAGGATATTAAACAACAAAAAAAAGAAAAAGAAGCTTGAAAGAAACAGATATCTAAACTTTATGTTTTTCAATAATTTCCTTCAATGCTTTTTTTGGAGAATGCTTCCTACATTTGATTAAGGGAATAGTGAAAAAGGAGTGCTCAACAAATGTATTGAACGACACAGACACACAGGATGATTCACTTTTTTTAATTGACTTGCTGATTTTCAGAGGTCATCCATCAACCATGCATTGTTTCGATCCAGGTAGACAATTCGTTTATTTTTGCATATATGCAAATCTGATTCTGTGTATGTGTGCGTCTGCGTGTGTAACTTTGAATATTCTTTATTTATCATGCTCCACCAATTAACCTTGCACAGTCCCTCTCAGTTCAGCCTCCGCCGGTGGGAGCTGGTCATTCATGCTTTGGGAGCTTTTCCCTGACCAGCACTCCCTCGGCGCTGGGCGACTGTGGGTTCACAAACACAGCAAACCGTGCCAAGTGGCAGCAAGTCCGTGCTGGAGCGGTGGCCTCTATCTGGGCTGCTTTTGGCGCGGTGGAAGGAGATTTGCGCGACTTAAAAGTGGATCAGTGTTTTGTAATGATTTTTTTCCCCCCTCTCGGAGCGCCTTCCTATTATTAGCTGCGGAGGCCTCCCGGTTGGTGGAGGTGGCTGATGACGGCCGGGCAGCGGCTCTGCAGCGCGTCAACACTGTTTTCGTTTTGGAGCGTTTCGCTCGCACCTTTATTTTATTTGCACCGATCCGGGCGACTTTTCCCGAAACGACTGCGGTCGCTCGGCCTGCACTTCTCCAGCCTGGTTTCCCCCCTTTACCTTGAAGATGAAGTTAAACGCGAGCTGCCATCAGGGGCAAGCCGCCCCCACCGGAGACCTGCTTTTTATCTCCTTCTTCACCCTGCCCTGTGCAGCACTTCCTTATGTTGCGGTAAGCAGGGGCCCATAGCGTTTATGGCAGCGGAATAAAAGTCAATTTGATTATTTCCCTTCGTTGTTATTCCGCTATGGAGTCACTCGGAGCCGGATAAACGGGCTCAGGAGTCAGTGACGGGGCGTTACATAAGGCGTAATGCAGCAAAGGCTCATGACTAGTGTCTCGGTGGTGGAGGGACTGTTCGCTCCTCCTGGTAGGATATGCACTGTTTTATCATCTTTGTCATGGCTTATGATGACGGATGCAGGCGTATTGAATAGCCTTGTATTTTAGAATATCCCCTTCAATGTACCGTGTCGCTAAAGAAGAACACTGTTGTGTAAAAATGATTAAGTAATGCGATAGTTGCGCAGTGCACTGTAGACAAGAAGGGCATGTAGATCAGAAAAATTAAAGGCAGAGCATAGTGTCATATAATTTTTCGTCTAAGGTCACTCTGGATGTTTTTCATGCTTTTAGATATAGGAAACAGCCCTTTGCTTTGTAGATTGTGCAGTCAGTGATTGGTAGGATTTGTGAATGGCAGCGGACTGCAAGTGACGATTAAAAAAAATAGTACCGTTAGGATGTCAGTGTTCGGTCAATACAAATATGCAAATGCTACTTATAGAAATTTATTTGTTAATGTGCTGGTGACGGAAGTTGATGCTTTCGAGACAGATGCTCTGGTCCCTTGGCTCCAGGCACTTAGTGGAAAGGAGGGCAATCTGACCCCATTCATGATAAAACGCTGATATCTGAATAATATGAATGAGCATTAGAGAGGGCCTTCTCCTGGGTTGTAATGGTCCAAGGGGCGTGTAAATTTCTAGTTTACATACATATGTGTCCTTGTTGACAGCCGTTCTCTCACACTGCCAAAAACCAACACAGAGCATTGTTGGAGGATGTCACAGTGACATAGACTACCTGGTTACCAGGGTAACCGGGATGGATGAATTGTAATCTACTTTTTTTTCAAGATTCAAAATAGTGGAATTAAGCATTCCCTTCCATATCATTTAATGTTCTCTGACCTGTAAACATGGATGATGACAGATGCCGTGCGTACAGTTACCATGACTTGACAGTAATAAAGAAAATGACTCGTGTAGATTTAGCCTCTCAAAAGCTTTGCAGCTTTTTATTGGCCCCTGTGAAACAGAAAAACACTACATTAGGTCAGTAAAAGACACATAACATTATTTTTTCTTGACATTTGAATCAAAGCTGCATTGAAATCATATTGTTGTACTTGTTTTTAAAGTGTTTATTAAAAAATATTATTGTGCTGGCCTCTTTAATGAAATTGGAGATGGAACTTGTGAATGAGCTCACGGAAGTCACAAAACCACCCTTTTATAGCTCTGCAGGCGGATTGAGCAGTGCAGATGAGGAGTAGTGAGAGCGTGTGTTGTGTCATGATGACGGGTAAAGACTTTCTGGCTCTGATGGCAGGTTTCTGTGCGTCTTTTTCATTTGCACAGGCCCCAGCTGACAGATTCTGATATGGACTATGAGAGGCCAAACGTTGAAACTATCAAGTGTGTGGTGGTAGGAGACAATGCAGTCGGAAAGACCCGCCTTATCTGCGCCCGGGCCTGCAATGCCACACTGACTCAGTACCAGCTACTTGCCACACATGTGCCCACAGTCTGGGCAATCGACCAATACAGAGTATGCCAAGAGGTGAGCGTCAGCTATGAATAGAACACCAGATTTCTTTCCCCTTAATGTGGGAACACCATTTTCTAAGTGAATAAACTAGTGGATAAGTGTCCATTCATGTAATTTCTTCTTAGGTATTGGAGCGTTCCAGAGACGTGGTGGATGACGTCAGCGTGTCCCTAAGGCTCTGGGATACTTTTGGAGACCACCATAAGGACAGACGCTTTGCATATGGCAGGTTAGAAGCTGTTAAAGCTGGAGCTTTTCTGATAGCTCAGCTAATATCTGTGATGAAACACTCAATTCTGGCTTCCCTTTAGGTCTGACGTTGTGGTACTCTGCTTCTCAATCGCGAATCCTAACTCTTTGTACCATGTGAAGACCATGTGGTACCCTGAGATCAAGCACTTCTGCCCCCGTGCTCCTGTAATCTTGGTAGGCTGTCAGCTGGACCTGCGCTACGCAGACCTGGAGGCAGTGAACCGAGCACGGAGGCCTTTAGCCAGGTAGTATGATTCGTTTTTTCAACTTCTATGTCAAGAGATGGATGGGGATGAGTATTTTTTCCCATTTTTTAAGTTAAAGAACTTCTTTTATACTATTCCTTTCTTTTCAGACCCATTAAATCCAATGAGATTCTTCCTCCTGAGAGAGGCCGGGAGGTAGCCAAAGAGTTGGGAGTGCCGTATTATGAAACCAGTGTTGTTGCTCAGTTTGGAGTCAAGGACGTCTTCGATAATGCCATCCGAGCTGCGCTCATCTCCCGCCGCCATCTCCAGTTTTGGAAATCTCATCTCAGAAATGTTCAGCGCCCTCTCCTTCAAGCGCCCTTCCTGCCTCCGAAACCACCCCCACCTATCATCACTGTGCCTCCTCCCCCATCCACCACAGAGGAGCATCCGGTTGGACTTCTGGAGGACCCGCACTGTGCTGATGTTATCCTGGTCCTGCAGGAGAGACAGAAAATCTTTGCACACAAGATATACTTGTCCACCTCCTCCTCAAAGTTCTATGACCTCTTTATCATGGACACGCAGACTGAGGAGAGTGAAAGGCCCCCTCGTGCCCCTCTCTCCGGCAGAGAGCTGCTGATGCGTGCTGCTAGCTTCGACGTTTGCGAGAGCAATGACGATGGAGACAGGGCCAACCTGAGGGCCTGCACTAGCGACGGGACCCTGAAAGACTCCGAAGGGGCCAGACGAGGCAGGCTGCTCTCTTCGTGGAGTCGAGCCTTCGTCAGCATCCAGGTGGAGCTGGTAGATGACCCTGTAACGTACAGCCCAAGACCCATGACTGTAGTTCACATGGACCAGTCCATGCAGTTCGGTCCTTTTCGAGCAGTTCTCCGCTACCTGTACTCGGGTCAGCTGGATGAGAATGAGAAAGAGCTAATGCAAATAGCACACATTGCGGAGCTGCTGGAAGTCTTTGATCTGCGGATGATGGTGGCGAACATACTTAACAATGAAGCCTTCATGAACCAAGAAATCACCAAAGCCTTCCATGTACGCCGCACCAACAGAGTCAAAGAGTGTTTGGCCAAAGGCACCTTTTCTGGTGAGCGTCTCTCATTGGGAAAACTGGAGGCAGTTGTGAATGAGGTGTAACCAGTGTTTCACTATGATGTTGCAGATGTAGTATTCAAGCTCGATGATGGGACAATCATGGCCCACAAGCCTTTACTCATCTCTAGCTGTGACTGGATGGCAGCTATGTTTGGCGGGCCTTTTGTAGAGAGCTGCACCAAAGAGGTAAGACAAATACAAACTAAAGCTAGTGGAAAACACGGTTAACCACGGAATCCAAAAGAATCCAAAACTAGCGTTACAAAGATGAGTATGTTTACTGATCTTAGTGCAAATCCAGTGGATGATGTGTGCAAAGCATATTTCAATAAGTGGATTCCAAATCTGTTTAGATACAACTTAGCTGGCTTTGGGATCCAAACATAACGTAGAACTCTGAGTTATGTTCTGAACCATTCAGTCACATCACATTGTTATGCAGAGGCTACATCATATGAATCATATCGGTATCTGAAGAAAATATTCTAAAAGATTTCTTTATTGTTAAAGTTAGTTAGTAAGACGTTAAACTCACCCCGCTGTCCTCCTAATTATCCCCATGAATCGTGGTGTCACTGGATAAGTCAAGTGTTGCTTGGAAAGTTGTGGCTACAAACAGTTTTCCTCCATAAGAATCACCGTTATTGCACCTCTGAAACTTCCTTCCTCATTATTACATGGAACTGACGCAGCATTCGTGCTTTTCAGGTGCTGTTTCCCAACACAACTCGCAGTTGCATGAGAGCGGTCCTGGAGTATCTGTACACGGGGAGGTTTTGTTCTCGACCAGACCTGGACGCAATGGAGCTCATTGTTCTTGCCAATCGTCTTTGCCTCCCCCACCTGGTTGCACTCACAGGTATTACATTTGGTACAGTTATGACTCAGCAAAGTACAGGATAGTATTACTCAAAACCTTTGTCCGTGATTTCAAATGAACGATTATGAGATCAGGCTTTCATGTGTCTTTTCAGAGCTCTACACGGTAACTGTATTGACGGAGGCGGCGATGATGGGGGCTGACATTGATGGAGATGTGCTGGTGTACTTGGATATGGCCCAGGTAATACGAGCTGTCAGTTTAGCCACAAATTGTTGGCACATTAAGCTCTATTTATTCTCAGACAAATTAGATCTTTACTTATATGCCCATTAATCAAAGAGAACAGCTTTTGAGGTTGCAATCATTTCTAAAGCCAGTAGATGGGGCCAAAGAAAAACAGTTTTTGAGATTTTCTATTCAGCAGTAGGTCTACATTACAGACATGTAGACCTTCAAAGGCCAAAGACCAGAGATATGATACAAAGATCCTCTGGACAGGTACTCGTGCTGGGATGCCCAATATAGTCTCGTCAAATTTTAATAAATGTGGATTGTCTACTGACAGATTTATAAGCCTTTCTCCCCTTATCAACTAAGACAGTGTTTCCACATTCGGAGCAACATACCCTGCACAAAAATGGTTGTTTGACTTTGTACGTTGACAGTTCCATGGTGCTCAGCAGCTGACTGGATGGTGTCTACACCACATTTGCACCAACTACAACAGTGTCTGCCGTAAATTCCCCAGAGACATGAAGGCCAAGTCTACAGGTAATTCACATAAGGCCTGGCATCCTGAAACGGAAGAATCAGATGACAAGTTGACACATTTAGTTCAGAGGGACCGGAGTCTCTGGTTTGGCCATGTGGAGCTCAGTATAGAAAACATTATGAATACTGTTTACCCTTTCCACAAAGACTAACAATTGTACTGCTTTATCAAGGATTCCTAAAGTAGATATGTACTGCAAATGCTGCATTGGTTTGATCAGTAATCCAAGATGACAATTGTATTACTCAGGTTGATCTGACAAAAAAACTTTCCAAATTCCTTAAAGCAAACTGTTCTCATGCAGAGAACCAAGAATACTTTGAGAAGCATCGCTGGCCACCGGTTTGGTACTTGAAGGAAGATGACCACTACCAAAGAGCGCGCAAAGAGCGTGACAAGGAAGACTACCTATACCAGAGACGGCAGTGCAAACGCAAGTGGCTCTTCTGGAACATTCCCTCCTCCCCGAACTCAAACTCTCCCTCTGGTTCCTCCGCTGTCATCTGACAGAGGGGTAAGGTCAGGCCGGAGTGCATCCGTGTGTCTCTGAAGGTTGTAAAAGATGTTAAATAAGGGCACACTGGTTCTTCTCCTGCCTGTGCTGGCAAACAACACCGTGGGCTTGCGAGGTCAGCTCATTGTGGTGATGTAAGTGATGACTTTTAATCCCTAGAATTTTCAACTGGGTATCTCGTAAGACTCCAACCTCAATAATACAAACCTTATCAACAACTGTTACAGTGTAACCGGCGCAATTATTAACCCATATTTTCCACAACTTTATTTTAATAGAAAAATAAAAACACAGAATTCTGCTGGCACAGAACCTTCCACCTGTTCTAATTCTCATCAGTTAACCTTAACTGATAACCAAGTGCTGCTTATCAGCTGCAACAACCAGCAATTCTACACAGAATTCAAGTCTCAGAGATATAACGCTTTGCCCTTAAGTGTTTGTACAATCCAGTCTATGTAAACAGTATGACCACACCAACAGGATGGAACAATAGCACGGCCGGCCCACAAACAGTCATTAAAGTCGTTAATTTAAACCACTTTACTACAAATGAGTCTGCATAACAGAAACACATTTCTATTCCTGCTTATTTTTGTACTGTAGGTTCATTCGGTTTTAACTATTAGTGAGCAGCTTACATTTCTAAAAGCGGTGTGTATCTCGACACCCACCACTTACATGTTGTGAATTTGAAATCCGTGGCCTCTTGTCACAAAAGGGCTTTATTTTAAATGAATGCATTTAGTTTTCTGTAACACAGGAATCAAGACAAATATGTGTTTTCTGTAAAATGCCAGAAAAAAAAAAGGCAGTCCAGTAATGATTTCTATGTGTTGCTGAATAAGAATTGTTAGCACACATATTTCCCGATCCAGTCTGTTATACAAAATGGCTCCATAACCTTGATAACCGCCATCCAGGAAAGCAACACATAACAGAACAGATGAAACCGTGTGGAGATCACCCCCCCACCCTCACTGTTCCTGCCTCCGGTTGTAATTTGATCTTTAGAAATGTGTCTCAGTTGGTTGGAGGCCGCCATCTAGCTGTCTCCATGTGGATATGTAAGACCTGTACATGCAGAAGAACTCCTCACACTCGGATGAAGTCATCTGTTCTTCTGTACACCTTGTGCACTTTCTGGACTCACCAGAGACACTAACACAATGACCTCTAGATGCAGCATCCCGGACTGTATGGTGTTATGAAAAAATGGAAGAGGGGAGGATACGAGGCCAAGATATTTCACATTTTTTCAGAACCGCTCATATCATTTTTCATGATTTGTTTTTGCACACCTCACAGAATGTGTTCAAGATTGTCATCTACGGATGTAATTGATTGTAGGGTGGGCAGCAAGCGTGGTGCTCAGTGAATATGGGTAGTATTGTAAATTGTATAAAATATCTGATGAAATGCAAATAACTTGCTTCACTCTAATGTGCTGTTACATACTATTGTGCACTGCAGGCAGTGAGCAGAATCTTACAGTGTTACTGAGTTATACTGAGTATAACTTTTTTTCCACTTGTTTTTAGTTACTGTGCAGCTACAAATGACTCATTCCTCATTGTGCTGATCTCCAGGTAATTCTATGATAGACTTTAATTTACATGGAACTTTCGGCAGGTCAGTGTAAGAGATGACCAATAGTACACCAGAATAACAATGCAAAGTGACGTAGACACGTGGACATGTAAGTGACATCATTAAGGTGTGTGATGCATTCATACAACATGCTGTTGTTCTCAATACAGTGATTGCAATTGCTTATGCCGCATATGTTAAAATTATACTTGCTTTAATCCTATATATGCCCCCCCCCTTAAACCTAAGAATTTTAGCAAAGAGCTTAAAGTCACAAAGTGGTATGTATTAGTTCTGTGACAAAAATATATTCTTGTATCAGCTCCTTACTGAGTATCTACATGAACATAGCTCAGTACATAATTTGTCATTTAAAGATGTAAGATATAGATAAGTGGTTGTACTGGTGCTCCCAGGAGTAGCTTTATATCCTGATTGATTATTTTTGACTTTCGATTCTTTATTAAAGACAAAAACTTTCATTTGAAGCGTGTAAACCGTCCAGATATTTGGACGCACATGTTGAGTCAGAGATTAATCAGTCTAACCCTAATCCACTGCAGAGCTTTACACTAATTCTGAATTCTACTTATCACACCGTTTGACCCTCATATAATGTCTGCTTTTCTATTTTACATCCAAGACTATTTACTTTAATTTTTGTTGGTGGTACGATGTATATACATCTCTACGGTTCCAAAACGGTTGCAATGATGTGCAAATTACATATACCAACATTTTATTCACATTAGGACAAATAAAACGTGTCAGTTGCTGAAAGTGAGACATTTTACCAGTCCTGAACAGTCCATCGCAGGCCCACACAGAAACACACAAAGACAAACACACACTCACACTAATTTCTAAGGGCCATTTGGAATGTCCAATCAACCTAACACGCAGTTTTTTGGACGGTGGCAGGAAGCCAGAGAGCCCGGAGAGAACCCACGCAGAGACAGGGAGAACATATAAACTCCACTCAGAAAGGCCTTGGTTCCCCCGGGGACTCTCTTGCTGTGAGGTGGTGGTGCTGACCACCACACCACCATGTCACCCTAATCACAACGTGTTAAGTAGAATTGGGACAGGGCACAGATGTAATGTCCTGTCCTCTGACCAGCAGTCTGTCCGTCTGTGACAGGTCAGCCGGTTTTTGATGCGGGGCCATATGAGGGCTCACAGATTACAGGAAGTCTGTACTGACGTTTAACCATATCCTTTACACACAGTCATCTCCTTAATTTTTTATTTTTTTAATACTGTGATATAAGATATCCTGTTGTGAAAAATGCTAAATCATCACATTTTTATTTTGAAGAAGGTTATTCTGAAAGTGCTGTCTTATACAATACTTTCAGTTATTTGTAGACTGCAAGTCCTTTGCCCATGCTTTTTTTCTGAAAGACTTTGCCTGTTACCGTCATTTGGTTTCCTGTTGGAATCTTGGCTGGGGACCTTTCTCTTGCAAGTTCACCCCCTGGTTGCGTTGGTTCTCTCTGGGTACTCCGGCATCCTTCCACTGTCCAAAAACATGTATGTTAGGTTCACTGATTATTATAAATTTCCAGTCGGAATGAGTGTGAGCGTGTGCGTTTTTTCTGCTCTTGGGATGTGATGGCCTGGTGACCCGTCCAGGTTTTGTACACCGGCTCTTGCCCCCAGACAGCTGGGATTGGCTCCAGTCCCACATGACCCTATTCAGAGAAAACAGGATAGGAAATGGATGGATGGATGTTATCCATTTCTATGTTTTCAGTTCTGTTGACTTTTTCAGCCTGTTGTTGCCCCTGTTAGCTAAGATTTCTATGAAAAGTAGAATGTCTCACCTTTGTGTAACTTTTTATAAATGAGTCTTAGTCCATCTGAAGAAGTAAGGATAGAAATTTATAAGGAGAAATAAATCTTCATGAAGTGGGAGAAACCAGCACGACCGCACGTAAATGGACATACCAAACCGCTGATTGTACAGAGTTTTGCATGACTATTTATTGGTCCCAGAACCTAGTCAGCAAGGCCTAGTCTCCCCGGCTCCATCATCTTTAGGGTAAGATGTCCTGTTTAAGACTAGACCACTTGCTCTTGTATATCTGTGAACAGTGGATACTAAGCACTCTATGAGGTACATTCGTAAAATCAAATCATAATTAGTATTGTAAGAATACATGACTCCTATATAAAAAAATATATCTATGATGATTAGTAGTTTTCCTCCACACTCACTTTTAGCATTTGACATGTTTTCTATGTTCTGTTGTGGTTAAGAAGCGTTTTAAGAGATTTTAAACTCGCTACATTCTGCTTTTCTTAAAGTTTTGCCGTGTCCAAACTATTTTGGAACTTTGTTTGGCAGTTCGTCCATTTCATCCCTCAGTGCATTTTATCTCTCAGTGGATTTTCTGCTGAGCTATTGCATCAACAACACCCCATGCCTTAATGTACAGTGTACCGTAGTGTGTGGTCTTGAATGTACAGTATTGTCGCTGTGTTCAGTACCTTGTTTGCTATATCTTAAGCTGCTGTGGTGCTCTCAAGGCTGTGTGAGTGTTTCTGTAAATGTGCACAAACCATAAATTGGATGTAGAGCCGTAGGTGTTCGATTTGAGGAATTTGATGGTCGCTCTTTGGTTTTAACACCGCTAAGGCTTTTTCACTTAAGAAGAGACACACAATGAAAGACTCTGCCCACCAGAGACCACTCTGGACAAAGCATTGATGACAAATCATCCAAATTATGACATTGACCATGAAATGAATGCAGGGATTTCACATTCATTTCACTGTTTTAAAATGAACTTCAATTAACTACAGCTTTTGAGTCTAGAGATACAAAAAAAAAAACTGATACCAACAGATAGTAACTTAAACATGTAAATATGTATTGTGCGATGACTTCTGCTATTCAGACCTGGCATAGTAATTGATAAAAAATACTGCGTAATTTATCATAGATCCTGTTTTCTACTATGCATACTGAAATGTTTGACTTTGAAACTCCAAACTTGCACTGCTTTGTAGCACCAGGTTCTCTTTAAATTGCATCAAGTGGTATTGCAACATCAATAGGTATGTAGAAAACATCAGGTAAAGGGGGGAAAAAAAGATTAGGTCAAAAATGACATAGAAGTTCTCATTGGGGCCCGTTTCCATGTGTTTGGGTGCTATATCACGGCTGCAGAGAAGCACAAACCAAAGGGAGCTTTAGCAGCACCAGGAATATTCTGTATATGCTGCACAATCACCACTGCATAGTTTAAGAGGCCTTGTTCAGCAATGGTTGATAATTAAACAAATAAAGAATTAGAATATAAAATAATAAGCGTTAAAAAAAAGAATGTTTTCTCAGTGTTTGAAGCCTGGTGGACATTTTCAGTCGTCCCCGGGCATGTTTGTTTTCAAAAGCTGTTTTTATGGTTTAGGAGCTGTAAATCAGAAATTCTGTAGCATGTGTTCTTGAAAAAAGTGTACATACTATTTACTAAATAAACAACGAGCGACGTGTGCAACGTGGTGAAATGGGATGTGTTTCCTTTTTGAAGGCTGTTGCTGTTTTGACACATGAACCCTTTGCAGCGCGTCAGCTGACCGGAGCAGGAAGAGGACAACTTTTCAGGCATGGTATGATCCTTAGAAATCAGTCAAATCAACACAAATGGAAAGAAAACTGGGCTCTGTAAGGCCATGAAGCCTGGCTGACCGTCTGCAGTAGATTGAGGGACACCTCCTAAATTTGTATCGCGTCGACTTGTTGAATCTAACTCAGCAAATCATCCAAAGCAGTTTAAAACAAGTGGAAGCTGACCGAGTTTAAATATATATAGATATAAAATGTTTATGTTTATATATATAAGGGATAAGTGAAGTCAGTTCTCCCTCACATTACGACGACAGTCACTTTTAATGCAGCTTTGGCTTCCTATGGGGAAATAAGTGAAACCTGATAAAATGACGTTGGCAGCCGAATGCGACTCCACCAGAGCTTTTAGTTAAATATAGAAACGCATAAGCGTTATTTGTAACTCAGCGCGTGTCCCCAACAATTTAAGCAGTTATTGCATGTGGCATTTCGACCAAGTCTCAGGAAATGTTTTAAACTGCGTCTTCTTTCCATCACGATGGCAGCTGGAATGCTGTCCAGCAGGTGGATGTGTGTTCAGGACACACACACTGAGTCACATAGATTTAGAAAACGTGTGAAGTAGTGTGGGCATTTTGAAACCTTCAGGATTAAGTTGGTTCTAATTTGGTTCTAAAAAGATGTATCTTTAAATGATTTAAGGTAACTGGTCCAACTGTGATCAATACACCCTGCCGATTATTCCAGTATTCAAACTGGAGAGGGGTCAGTGACATTTACAAAGATTCTCAAGAGAGAACATGAATATGAAGTATAACTACAGGACAGGCCAGATGGTCACAGACAGCTAATTTTTGTCCTTTTCATTCTGTTAGAGCCAACAAACTGTTCATCGATTTAACCAAGCATTTGACCTTGTTATATTATGTTATTTTGAGTGCTCTTACTCTTCATGTTTTGGCAAAATGGAACATTTTGATAACTGGTTTGGGTGCATGGGCACTGTTGGAACTTTATTTACACAGACAAAAATATAAATGTCTTGCACATTTAAAAACTATACAGCCCACCAGAAATGGTTTCATTTTCCCAGCAAACAAATATTATGATCTGGAAAGTAAGAAATCTCCATAGTAAGTAACAAAACCAACGTGCCACAGTTTTTAAACAAATCTGAGGTGCGTTTGTTCGACCTGTCACCACATCCTTCACACTGGACATTAAACTAATAGAAAGTAAACATGCCCATGAAAAACGGTCTCGCTTCAACTTCTCAAATGAAGTTTGCTGTACCTCATTAAGGCAGGAGCTTCATTTAGGAGGAAAGAGGTAAGAAGCAATGGCGGTTGAACAGTCTATTCCAAAGATCCCAGTCACAAGGCCACATTTGTGTCACAACACATGTAATCCCTCCAACATTTGTTCAAGACGTACTGTTTGATCATGAGACTTCTACCGATTGTTCACTCATGACAATTTCGGAGATGGCTGAACTTGGTTTAAAAAACACTGTACAGATGGAGAAGTTTGTGTTGTGAGTTTTATGAAGACTTTTAAGAAGAAAAAACACTAACACGATGTGCTGCTATTCTGCAGGCTGCACTTGCCCCTTTTTTGGTGCTTTTTGTCTTCAAATTGGGGACTCACACAGTAGAAGCAACACAAGAAACCCTGGACTCTCTGGATGCTTCTTTCTGTCAGTAAGTAACCAGTGACACTTCAGAAAGAAGTGATCACCAGTGTGGTCATGCTTCACACAATCTTTCTACATCTTGCTGTGTTATTATCTCTACATCTCAATGATTTCCCCCCCAAAAAAGCTTTTTTAAATCCCTTTTTTATCACAATCAATAAAGTGGTGGACTTGAAGTTATCTATCCAGAGCTGGACATCGACAAATGCCTGGTGATTCCAAAACACCTGAGACTCAGAGAGAAGATCAGCACCGTCTGGGAGGCACCACAGATTTACTTCCCTGGAGCTCAGAAGGTAAGACAGACTTCACATATATCTACATTTGTATCATATCAGAGGAGTAATATAATCCTATTAAGTCTGTACCAGTGAGCGCTTGTGGTTCAGTGAGGGCAAAAGACTGGAAAGATCAGTTGGGGATTTTTGCTTTTCTAGACCATCTGCACTTTTCCTTTAATGGTATTAATATTAGTGGTGCTAACTTTTACATAACAAATAGTAGGATGAACTATTACTAAATATAAATGGTTTATTTCTTAAATGGAACCATAGTTCTTATACTTAAGATAATGTGGGGCATTGAACTTCACACTGCGTGATGCATTTTGTTGTATGCGTACGCGTGCTTATTTTTATCACTAGAGGGCAGTAATGCATTAAGTAAGGTGCACATCTCTCAGACGATCTCAGATCCAGGT